CCTGTAAGAAGGCCTTCCCTAAAGACACCCTGCGAGTCCCGAGGAAACTGTGTGTGGAGAAAATGTATGTCCAACCAGACGCCCGCTGCCTCCTCAACGCAACCACTGCATGGGCCAGACATCAGCAGGGAGAGAACCGATTCCCGCGCCTGAGCCACGAGAACGAGGCACTGTGGGGGCTGACGTCACTGCGTGCTGGCGCGGGGCGGATTCTACATAAAATGATGGGCAATGCTGGCAATTCAGCCGACAGTCAGGTACGGAGCTGGAAAGGCAGACCGGAAGACTGAAGACAGGCCACCCGGGAAAGAGGCAAGTGAGTTCCTGACACTGGCAACAGGTCATGGAGGTATCTGTGACCCCAATGAGTACTCACCCACCAGCACCTTCGACAGATTGAAAGTTTTCTTCTTCCAAATATAATATTTTTATTGTTCAACAGAAGTAGCACCCAGATATGGTCAGAGGTTATGACGACACTCTTGTAGTGGATCTTGAGATACATGAAATCAAAACTGTTTTCCACGAAATCAAAACTGTGATGATCAAGGAGGCAAAGTGGCTTGTCTGTCAGACGTGTCTTCTCACCTCTTTCCTGGCCACTGCTGACCTTGCTCACAAGTTCAAGAACAGAGAGGCTATGGTAGCGAGGAGGTCAAGCAGGGCTCAGCACTAAATTCAGAACCAGCCATTCGAGAAGGTTCTAAGTGCTGTGGCATCAGCCCTTTGACCTCTAATGGACACACGCTGCCGGGTAATGCACCCCCCTCACACCTTGACCGTTGGAGCCACTGTGTCCTCCCCCTCCAGCTCCTCGCGATTCTCCCGAGTTTTCACTGGCCCTCTACTGCTCCAAGTCTGAGGTCCTTCCTCTGGTATTGGCCTCTCTTGCTAACAGGTCCAAGGTCCAGATGAAGTATCGCCATCTTCGCTTCTAAGGAGCCTTCTGGCTGTACGCTGCCCCTTTCAGGATAGGTGTGTTTGTTCTTCTGCAGTCCGGGTATATTCAGTACTCTTCATCCTCAGCATAACTCAAAGGTATCAAGGATCCTTCTGGGTCCTTTATTCATTGTCACATGCATAGGAGGTGATTGGAAATATCAAGGTGTACCTTAGTTCTCAAAGTGACATCTTTGCCTTTTAGTACTTTAAAGAGGGCTTTTGCAGCAGCTTGGCCCAATGTAACCATTGTTTGACCTAGCTGATGCTTTCCTGAGCAATGATTATGGACGCAAGCAAATGAATTCTCTGACGACATCAGCCTTTCCTCTGCTTATTCGATGCTGCTCATAGACCAGATGTCCACCCCATTGCCCTTGAAAACCCCAAGAGTCTTTCAGTTCCTGCTCTTGTGCATTCACCCTTTCCAAATGCGCCCAGCTTCTCCTACCCAAGAGGTCTGCAGCATCCTGCCATGTGCTCATACGGAGGGTTTTCTCACTCACTGGGCCAGGCTCCAGGTGGGTTATTGCAACAGTCAAGCACATCCAGGTGGAGTGACACAGGAACACAGCACAGAAGTGGTGGGGCTTTAGGAAGAGAGTGAAGCTCTGCCTGTGCTAACCCCCACCCCCCACCCCAACAGAGTCCTATGAGTGGCTCCCCAGGAGGTGGGAGACCAGGCTGCAGGAAGGGCAAGCACAGGAACCTGAACTTTCCTAGGGGAGGCAGCAGGAGGAACAGATGGTAGAGGGATGGCCAGGTGGTATGGGAGGACGAGGTGGCACTCTGGGCTGGGCCAGCATCACACCCAATCCCACTAGTACCCTCGCCTTGTATTAAGCAAGGCCAACCAAGGATGCCTTTCCACCATTCCACTACCTAGCTACGGGCCAGCCCCCATCCTCAAGCAGTCAGGGCCCTACCAAGGGGGCCCCAGAAGCAGTCTCATCCTGATTATTCTCAGTCCTGGGGTATCCTGGGTACCCCCTCAGGGAGGATGCTGTCAAGAATGGACACGTTTGAGTTAACATCTGTTCTAAGCATGGAGAACTTCCCTTTTGGGTTGACCAGGAATTCGCAGAACTTGAGGCTTTATAATACTCTGTTGTAAATGTCTACAGACCAAATACAGATTCAAACAGGCTCGGCTCACAGCACACAGTGCCTGGGTCGGTGCGGGGACAGAAGGTCGAGTGCGGCAGAGGCAAATTCTGCCACCGAAATGAAGGCTGGTCGAGCATGACACGCGTCCCGCCAGGAACCTCAGACCTCGGCACCCCTGCCCTGCTAACAAGTACTGGTGAAGAGGAAGCTATGGTAATTATTTCTATTACAATTAACAGCTAAGTGTTCCTGTTACCTCTGACTTGCAACTGTATTCCTGGTTGAAAATGGGCCTGCTCCATCTAAACAGATTCTGAATTGTGCTCCTAGTGTTGAGTTACATAGTTTCCGCATGACTCACATTTATACCAGAAAATCAAAAACACTGCAGAAATGCCAGCTCAGCAGTTGCCGCCTGCCGCTGCTTCCCTCCCTCTCTCCCCCTGGGGGCTCTGTCCGTCCACAGGGCCTGAAAGTGCCATGCTGAGTGCTCAGGGAGACTCGGGAGCTTCTTCGATAGCGGTTCTCAACCTGTGGGTTGAGACCCCCTTAAGGGGTTGAACGACCCTTTCACAGGGGTCGCCCGATTCATAACAGCAGCAAAATGACAGTTATGAAGTAGCAACAAAAATAATTTTATGGTTGGGGGGGGGGTCACCACAACATGAGGAACTGGATTAAGGGGTCGAGGCATCAGGAAGGTTGAGAAGCATGTTCTACAACTTCTCCATGCCCCCGCCCCACCCCCACCCCACTCCCGAGGCCACCGGACTCTGTTATGAAAATGATTCTATGTTTAAAGGATGTGTGTCTAAGAATGTGCCCCTTTGAAAAGGCAGCGAGACCAAGCCCTGGGCACCCTTCTGTCCATGCATGTAGCAGGCTGAGTCGGGTGGCTGGAACCCCAGCCAATGGGAAGATGACGAGGTGGGTGATGCTGCCGTGCCAGCTCCTCTCCACAGTAACCCTCAGGACGGAGCGGAGCTGCTGCCACTTCTGGCCACAGAGCCCCTAGTTGGCGATAGCCCAGCGTTTAACTGCTGTGCTACCAAGGCCCCTCCAAAAGATGAGAGGAGGAGGCAGATCTGCAGACAGATGCCACACAGCCTGGTTCACATCGGAGCTGACCCATTGAGCACATGACCTTTGGCCTGGTTCATATCAGATCTGACCCAGTGGTCAGAGACCTTGGAACCCCAGTTCACATCATATCCGACCCAGTGCAGCAACAGTGCCCGGGCCACTAGGAGCAGAGGGGGGGTGTTGCTGAGAATCTGAGACTGCGTTAAAGCAGGGTGCTCCCCTCCAGCGCCCCCTCCCAGGCAAGGGGCATCTGCCCCTGAGGGGACCTGTGTCTGTGACAGGCCTGTGGCCACCAGGGTTCAGTCTCACGGTGCGGGCGGGGCTGTCCATGTGCAGGACTTGGCAGTGTAGCTGCAGCCAGCCCCCAGGGGCCAGGCTCCTGGAGGCTACAGAGCCACTCTGCTCTGCCTGAGTGCTGCCATCTCTGAGTGATGTACGGCCCTACCACCACGTCACCAGAAAGGCCCCTGCCAGCACCCAGATTCCCCACAGGTAAGTCAAGGTGGTTAGCAGGGGCTAACGTCCTCTGGAAAACACAGCAACGTGCCCAGCTCTGGCCTCTGAAAGGCCACGAGAGCAGTACAGAGAGCTGTGAAGGGAGCCCACAGCACGGATGCACGTACATAGCACAGACAGAGAGGTGCAAGGCCCGGAACACAGCCCATCAGCTCCGGCGTCTGGTGGTCGACCACCTAGACCTGTGGCTGACGGGGAAGCAGCAGAGAACTGGATTTCCCAAGGAAACATGAAGTGGAGCCACCACAAGGGGCGCCCGCCATGGACGTCACCATACTGCTGGGGGGGCGGGGGTTACTGTGAAGTCGGTCAGGGAGGATGATGGTTCTCTCACCCCTCGCTGTCTCAGTGGGCAACACTGGATTGCAGATCAAGGTCGCACCCAACACCCAAGTACACAGGAGCCTGTGTGCAGCACACAGCGTACACAGTGGCCTCTCTCCACTACTGCCTAACAGTGCCCTCGCTGTGGCGCCGATTGCACTCCCAGCAGCCCGACAGGGCAGAGAAGAGCTACGCCACATGGAAGGAGGCTGCTTGGCCCTCCTGTGGAATGCCGGTGGGTTTGAACCATCCACCTTTCCGATGGTGGCCAACGCTTAACCCACTGTGCCACCCGGGCTCGCTCCAGCCTACAGCAGGGAAGAGTGTCTTTCTTTTCCACTACAGAGGCATGGGGGCGAGGTAAGGGCAGAGGAGAGGGGTTGGGATGGAGAAGGAGGGCTGGGGGTAGATCCAGTGAGGAGGGGCAGAGGGTGCCGAGCGGCAGACACTGCTGATGGGGGCATGGAGGTGCCCACCTTGTGTCCACTGCCAGCTTTGTCCAGGGGTTCCTCAACCCAAGTGTCCAGACTCAGAAGACCAGGGAGTAACTTTCCTGTTTACTTCTCAACCCGTTCTAACATCGTAACAAGCCTAGCCTTCTCTAAGTTGTTCTGGAGAGGCCTGATGACGTTTCGATGGCTCAGTTCTCCAGATGTTCCGGAGAAGCACTAAGCATGGCGGCACTCGAGGTCACCTGGGGATCGCGAGACAGAATGAAGCACAGCAACCCTGTCATTCCTACCAGTGTGTCTCGTGATGGGTGTCCCTATTGGTTCCTGATGACAGGCAGAAAGAGAGGCCCACGCCCACCCCACTCAGTCGTCCAAGCGACCTATGAGCCAGTTGGAGCTGTCCACAGCAGCCAGCCCTGAGAAGTGCACATCCACACGGGCAACCGGGCTCTCACAGCCAGAGGCCACGCCGGATGCGCAGCATATCCACATGTAGCACAAGGCAGTGTCTTGCCCAGAAATGACCTCTCAGCCACAGGGGACACAGGGACTAGAGCTAGACAGGGAGGAGGAACACACCTGGGTGAGAAGCTGGTCTGCAGACAGCTGGTTGATCCAGCGTGTATACCTCTTGGTGGAGTCAGGGGGGTCTCTTCTCACCTGGCAGCCAACAATCTGTAAGGCAAACACAGGGCATGAGAGGATGTCCACATGGACACGTGTGCTGCTGGGCCAGGGGCAGGGGTTGGAAGACACTTCCTGCCACGTGCCGGTGGGGGGGGGACCTCCCACCACCCGGGGACAGGCAGGGGTCCAGGCCCGATGGAGCTCTTGGTGGAGGATGAGTGGCATCTGCTCTTAGCTGGATCATGAACACAGTACAGACAGTTTCCCCCGACACACTCAGGTCAAGTGGTCCACGTTCATGCAAACACAAGGGTCAGATTTACTTTGAAGGCGACTCACTGGACCCAAGAAAGCTCCATCACATCTTCTGGGGCAGCAAATGGGAACAGCCTCACTGGGGACATGGTCAATCAGCCTTGTCAGGGGCTTCTGAGTTGTTCTGTGTACAACAGATCTGAACACTGCCTAGTCCTGCGCCACCCCCACAGCGTGCATCCATTTGCAGCCACTATTAGCCATCTCTCTCTTTCCATGGCCCTCTACCAGCAATGACACCCTTCTCCAGGGACTGGTCCCTCCTGAAACCATGTACAAAGTATGTGAGATAAGTCTCAACATGCTCTGTCCTAAGGAGCATTTTGGTTGTCTTTGTTTATTCTCCTGGCAGCCCACGGTGTGTCCCATGGAAAAGCATTCATTTCCAGGTAGCTATGTCCCACAGCTGATGGCTCAGGAGACAGCCTGGTCTAGCTTTCCACTCTTGCACAAACTGGACTCTCCTCCATGTGGAGCCCCCTCCTCTGGGCCACTAGCCATGCACACCCACCTTGTGAGCTGCCCTGGAACTCCTCTTTCCTTCCACTGGTACAGGATCACAAACAAGATCTGACCCTAGTTTCTAACCATTTCCTTCTATCCTCAAACCTTGAATGCGGAACCGACCTCCTCCTAGCAAAGGCACAAGCCCCTCTAAGCCCCCTGGCCCAACCCAGCAACCCATCTGCCTGCCCTGCCTTCCCGAGCTCTGCCCAGTGCCCCTCCATCCCCTCTCCATGCCTGTAATTTCCTTTCTTGCCCTATGCCACTGGCTTGACAACCAGCACTGTGGTGGAAGTGTGCTTGGTCAAAGCGGACAGCCTTGTTATGGGTCCCAGGACATAAGCATTCACTCTTTCACCAGTAAGTATGCTGTTGTTGTGTCAGTATAATGTTAGCGCCAGGTTTTTTCTTACATGGTGTTTCCCTCTACTCCCCGTTTTCTCAAAGGTTTCCTCATGAATTGGCACAGGACCGGGCAGTATTTCATTTAGCTGGATGAATTGGAACTGACTCACGGCACCTAACATAATTATTTTTATATGCTGGTGATTCCATTTTGTTAAGGCCTTTGCACGGCATTCATGAGGGTCACTGGTCTCTGGATGGTCTTTGCCTGGTCTGGCAGCTAAGTAACACTAACTTGCTAAAATGAGCTGAATTCTCTCCCCTTCATTTTCTGTTATTTGCTGTGCTATCTGTTGAGAGTTGGAGTCTTCAACATCAAGGCAGTCTGCCTGCTTCGCGTGTTGGTGACGTCTGTTTCTGTCGCACTTCCTGCTCTGCCACTCGCTGCAGAGGTGAAGCGGCTGTGGGCTCTGGTGGGGCTGACCTTTCAGCAGATAAGTGTCCTTTGCCATCTTGGGTAAGTTTCTTTGCTCTAAAATCTATGTGATCAACTGCTAATACAGCCACTCCTGCTTTCCTTTTACTAACGTTTGCACGATCAGTGAAAATATAGTCACAGACTGAGAGAAGGTATTTTTCAGCCATACATCTGATAAAAGATTCTTATCTAGAATATGTACAAAGTTCTCAATGCTCAGCAATAAGAAAACGAGCAACCCACATTAAGGAAAAAAACACTTAGAAGATTTGAACAGCTAGTCCATAAAACAAGATTCATGTATGGAAAACACACATGTATTCGACGTTAGTCATTAGTACACAGAACCTGTACACTTCGTTACAGTAATTTACTTTGTCTCCTTGAGTTGCCCTTTGAAATTTTCTGTTCAGCTCTTCAACTTCACCACTCCTTCCACTTGTCGTAGGTACTACTCTGAGAGCAGTTACAAGCACAAATACGAGGGGCACCCAAAAAACCCAGAACTGTGCTGGGCAGAGCAGAGCAGAGCTTTCGTAGTGCACATTTTTCCCGTTCAGCGAGCATCAAGCAAGTCCTCTGAGTCAGTGCACTCAGTGGCGTCACCTGGGAAGGTCCTCCTGGTCACAGTGGAATTTTTCATAAAAGCAGTTTCGCTAGAATCTCGTTTTTTTGTGATGGCTGATTTAAGAGAACAACAGCATGCGGCTGTGGAATTTTATTTTCTACTCAGGAGAAATGCAGCACAAACTGTTGTGATGTTGAACACGGCTTACAAGGGCAGCGCTACGGGAAAAACCTCAAGTGTATGAGTGGTTTTCTCTTTTTAAAAAGGTAAAATGTCGAGTGATGACAAATCTTGTTCTGGATGTCCGTCAACTTCCTGAAGTGATGAAAATGTTGACTCGTAGTGCATTTGGAGTTCTTTCCACCAGGGCAGACTGTTAATCAAGCTCCTTATTTAGAGGTTCCGAAGAGATAACGTAACAGTGTGCGACAAAAAAGGCCTGATTTGTGGCAGATGGGGGGCTGGTTTTGCCACCATGACAATGTACCTGCTCACGCAGCCCTCTCAGTGTGCCAGTTTTTGACAAAATACAGCATGCCTCTCATGTCCCATGCACCTCACTCACCTGACCTTGCTCTGTGAAAGTTCTTTGTTTCCATAAAAGAAGAGGGGCATGAAAGGACAGCGATGTGATGAAGTAGAAGTGGTGAAGAAAAGATGAGGGAGGTGCTGTCAGCCATCCAAGCAGATGAGTTTGAAAAATGTTTCCAAGATTGCAATCGGTGATTTGACAAATGTGTTAAGTGTAACAGAGAGTACCTTCAAGGTGATAAGGTTGTGCTGTTAAAACATTTAAATACATAGCTTTTGGGGAGTTCCAGGTTTTTTGGGGGGTCCCCCCTCTAGGTTTTTTGGGGGGTACCCCCTCCTATGTCTTGGAAAAAGTACAGCAGAAAACTCCTTAGGGACAAGGAGGATGAGACCTCATCTCACATACTTTGGACGTGCTGTCAGAAGAGATCAGTCCCGGAGAAGGACATGATGTTTGGTAAAATAACAGGAAGGCCCTCGAAGGTGGACCGACAGCAGCTGCGACAATGGGCTCAAGCACAAGAACACTTGTGAGGATGCGCAGGACCAGGAAGTGTTTTGTTGTTCGTACACCGTCACTATGGGTTGTAACTTGGGACCCGTTGATGGGACCCAACGACAACAACAGAAATTAGAACCGCAATGAAATAACACTACACACACACTAAACGACATTAGAGCATCTCAATGACAACCGGCTGCACCAAATACTGATGAAAAGGTGAAATAAGAACTCATGCGGGAGGGGGGAGCGGGGAGGGAGGGGAAAAATGAGGACCTAATGTCGGGGGTTTAAATGGAGAGAAAATGTTTTGAGAAACAATGTACAAATGCGCTTTACACAATTGATGTGTGTATGGACTGGGATAACAGTTGTATGAGCCCCTAATAAAATGTTAAAAAAAAAAAAAAAAGAACTCATGCATTGCTAATGAGAATGGTAAACCAGTTTGACAACTTGCTAGATGAATTAAGCATGCACCTACTCCAGGACTTTCCCCTACAAAAAACTTAGAATAGCTTTGCTTGTAATAGGCATAAACTGAAAAAGAAACATATAAAAACATCCACCGATAGGTGAATGGATAAAGATATCTGTGATATACCCAGAAAATGGAACAGCACTCAGCAATAAGCAGTGGCATGGGTAGATCTGAAACGAATGACGATCCGGAGTGGGAGAAGGGGGACACAGAGCAGTACTGCGGGATCCGTGTGTAAGGCATTCAGAAAATACACCCTAGTCTACAGAGGCAGCCAACAGGCCAGTGGATGCGTGGGGGGGAGTGGGGTGCAAGAGGGGCAGAAGAACGGCAAAGGGATGTGAGGAAGTGTGGGGGGGCGATCAAGAGTCAATAGCTTGGCTGTGATGGCAGCGTCACAGGTGAATCCAGGCATCAGAAGTTACTGAACTGAACATTCTGCCATTTATTGCATGCCCATTAGACATCAATAAAGCCCCAAACTCCTTTAAAAGAAAAGAGAAATTCAAGAACTGGAAAGTACAATTGCTGAACCTAAGAACTTCCGATAGTATTTTAGCAGAGGAATAGATGTAGCTGAAGGGCTGGGGGGGTGGTAGCAAGCAGACTCATAGGAAACCTACAGGAACCGAGGGCGAAGGCAGAAGAGAGCACAGGGGTCAGCAGTGACGCTGAGGGACACTAGAGTCTCAGGGGAAGCAGGGGCTACAGCAGAGAGGGAGAGAGAAGTATGAATGGGGCAGAAAGCAATGGTGGAAGAATTTTCCAAAACAGATAAAGCTATCAGGAAATGCTGTGTGCCTCGAGCAAGATAGATCCCGAGAATACCATGGCTAAACACATCAAGCTGTTGAAAGCCAGAAAACTCTGAAAGCCGTCAGACAGCAGCACTGTCCTTACGGGGCCAAGCAGCCATGAAACAGGCCGGTGGGACATTGTAGACATCTCTCCAGAAAATACCCACTAAACAATCAAGCAACTCTTGAATTATTTTCCTGTAGGGCCAGGACTCTGCCCAGGAAAAGGTTTGCTAAACACTGGCCTGCCTAATACCTATCATTGAAACCGCCTCTCTTCTGGCCTCGCCTTGCTGCGGGGCTGTCCATCGCACCGAGGCCCCTGCAGCAGAGGGGAGCTGCCCCACAGGAAACCTTTATGGGGCAGAGCTGAATCACGTGGGGTCACTCTGAGTTGGAATCAGGTGGACAGCGCTCAACAACCACAATCTTTAGGAAGGCAAATCGCCAGCCTGGGGGAGTTCAGACCCTTTCCAGTTAGTGTAAGCAGGGCGCCACCAGGGCCCGCAGTCCTGCTACACTGGCTT